ATAAGGACAGTTAGCAGGAAGCCTGCCACGGCCATGCAGTTTGTAAGCAAATTAAGTCTCTGTGTTCACTTGGTTGGGTCTGAGCGGCTGTGGGACTGGCGGGTGACAAAGATTTATCCTGACTGTGGGCAAGGCGAAAAAATCTAGCAACACAGAGTATTCTCAGGAACACAGTTTTATTTGTTGTCCTCTGCCACCAGAAGAGCAGTGTCCAGGGACATGAACAGAGCTTTGATATCAACAGACCTCACTGATTCTCCTAATCTGGACAATGCTGCTTCTTCGCAGAGCACCTCTGAGGCCTGTTCACCCAGAGGACTGCACTGAGCATGATCAGGAGCAGGGGCACCTCCAAAAAGACCAGGAGCTGAAAGTAGATGCTGCTCAGCAGGGACCTGTGGGGACAAAGGTCAAAATAAGCTTCCTTCTCAGAAGGTGGTGATGATGCCCTGCACTGTGTGTTGGTCTCTTTACCCAGGTGTGTGTCCACTGTGTTCTTTTCAGGGACAAGGACAATGAACCCTGCCTGACTGAGCTGTGTGACTGAGCCCAAGAAGTAGCCTGGAACTGTGGGTCTGGCTCAGTCTCTCCGTGGACCTCCACTCCTAAGGCCTCTATCCAGGCAGGTGCTGCCTCCTCCACCCAGACCCCAACTCTCTTCTAAATTGAGCTCCCCTATTTCCTCCTGGTAGCTCTTATTTGTTATTTTGCTATTTTGCTATTTACTTATGTTTTTTTGGGGGGGGGCCTAGGGGGACAGGGTTTCTCTATTATGTAGCCCAGGCTATCTTGGAACTCACTATGTTGACCAGGATGGCCTTGAACTCACAGAGATCCACATTTCTCTACCTTCCAAGTACTGAGGTTAAATGTTTGTGCCACTACAGACCAGTGGCTGTATTTATTTTCATTAATTAATTATGAATTAAATAAAATTAATTAATTTGCTGGTGTTTTGTGTCTCTCTCTCTGTGTATGTGTGAATGTGTGTGTGTGTGTGTGTGTGTGTGTGTGTGTGTGTGTGTGTGTGTGTGTATGTAGGTGCACATGTCTGTTCATGAACGTGGAGATCAGAGGAATCCCTTGGGTGTCATTCCTCAAGAATCATCACCTTGTTATGTTGATGTTGGGACCGGTCTCACTATGCAGCTCTGGCTAGAATGAAATTTGTGATGAAGTCCAGGCTGATTTTCAGCTCATAGACTGGCCTGCCTTTGCCTCCCAAGTGCTGGATTAAAGATATGAGTCACCACACCTGATCCATCTATCTTGTTAATTGACAGGATATCACATTGGCTTGGAGCTTGCCAAGTAGGCTAGGCTGGCTGGCCAGTGAGTCTCAGGGATCCCCCTGTCTCTACCTCCACAGTTCAGGTATTTCAAGTATATGACACCCTGCCCGACATGCGGGTGCTGAGGCTTGAATTATGATCTTGTACCAGTAAATACATCTCTTCAGGCTCTGTGTGTGTTTATGGAGTAGGCAGGAAACTAACTCCATCTCAGCAGGTCTGGGTCTGGGTGTCATTGCTGTGTCCCAATCTGTAGATGAGCAACTGTTGCTCACAAGACACTCCCCCAGGTCAGTGTGGGACTGGAAGATGCAGGAGATGCCCAAGGAGGGAGATCCAAACCCTTCTACCTCCACCCTCTCAGCATTGCCCCCACCCACAGTCCAGAGCCCTCAGGGTCCTCACCGGGGTTGTAGGCTGGGACCAGGAGTTGTGTCCTCTGTGGTCACGCTGGGCTGAGTGTGCACTGGTGAGGATGTGGGGGACCCCAGGGTATTTGCTCTGTTCTCGTGGCTAGAGCCTGTGACAGGAGCAAAGGATGGAAACACAGACTGTCCCAGTGACCTCCACTCCATGTCCTCCCCACTGAAACCTCTGCAGCTCTGCTGCACACGGGTCCCTAGGGACACGATGGACCACTGTGTGACAGCCTACAAGTCCCATGGCCCCACCAAGTCCTGGTCAAGGCTTCCCTTGCCAGCCCTTCCCATGGTGCATTGGGGCTGGTTGGCACTTTCAAACTTGAGGCCAGTCTTCCTGCAGAGGAGAGTTTAAGTGTCAGTGACAAGACACTTGGTGCCAGGTCCCTTCTGGTCTCAGTGACACCTTTTGCCTCCTTGTTTTCCATCCTCCTGGGGACAGACACAGAGTGGTGGGACTCTGTCTGCCTGGCCCAGTCATTCCCACACTGTCACCTAGACAGGCCACTGGGAAGTCTTCTCTGAGGAATGGCCAGGTGGAAAGATCTAGAAAGACAGATGCTTGAAGGACCCTATGGAGAGTGGCCTCTGCTGAGGGGAACTAGAGACACCAGTGGGATTTGGTTCCACACTCCTCACTATGTACCCACAGAGGATGTTGGAGGGAAGCTTTTATGAGGGGAAAACCACAATTGAGAACCAGAACAGAAAGCTGGGTGTGGGGATGGGAGCCTGTAATCCCAGTGCTGGAGAGGCAGATTCAGGAAGATCAGTCATTCAAGTTGAATTCCTACAACACAGTGAGTTTGTGGCCAGCCTGGGCTACACAAGACCCTCTCTCAGAAAAGATAAATACTGGGAACAAGAGAGCAGTTCATCCCCTTCAGCCCCTGCCACCACCCAGCCCTTAAAGAGATGCACTAATTCAGGTTCTATAAACAAGGGAGGCTCCATCAGGGGAGAATGACTGCAGACATGGAGAACATTGGGACCAGAGAAGCTGAGAGGCTGTCTTCCATCCAACTTCACTCTCTGCCTGTGAAGGGGCACTTTTGGGGGATTCTCTGAGTTTCTCCCTGCAGTAAATGGTTCCTGGGAAAGGGGGATAAAGGGGAACTTGGAGTGGTTGAATGGATTTCTCAGGAATCAAGAAGCCCAATATATAATCTACACTTCTTGTGTCTCTGGTTCCTCTCAGAAGCCCCAGAACCACTGTGATGAGGCTGGCACCTTGGGACCTCCATGGAAGGGAAGTGTCCACTCAGTTTCAGGCCAGGGCATCCTCTGAAGGAGGGGAGTAGATAGGCTGGGTACTGTTCCCACATGACATGGGGACAGGACCAAGTGAGACCTGGGAGAGAGGACTTGTCTCCTATCAGGACAGGAAGTCACAAAGAGCCACTGATCCATGGCTTGTCTCTGGGCCTCAGACTGTCACATGGGACACACAGAGAGTCTCCTACAGGGGCTGATGAGAGAGCTCAGTGGATAAAGTCTCTGCTTGTCAAACCTGAAGATGTGAGTTTGAGCCCCAGGACCACACTGTGGAGGGAGAACTAAGTGCCAGTTCTCAGACTGAAACACACCATGGGCTAGTTCAACTAACTAACTAACTAAATAAATGAATAAATAAATGTAATAAAAAGAGAGCTTCTAAGAACTAAGTTTCCCCATTGTGCCTGTGTGTACCGGCACACACATGTATTGGTGTACATACACTATCACACTTACCACACATGCTCTCACAATGGCACATGTGGACTCATACTCCCTGTGTCCTGAGTCACTGATTCACCAAGCTTACCATGCTATTGTATCTGGCTTCCTTCCTTCATGACGGTCTGACTGACCTGGACTCAGGATGCCCTGACATGAAGGGAGCTTACCTGGGACCACGGACACCACAACTTTGAAGGAGTCATCGATCCCCCAGGTGGGAATGGTTTCCCAGTAGGAGCCATTGATAAATGGTATTTCCACCCCACATTTATAGATGCCTGCATCCTCCAGGGTGAGGTTCTCCAAGGTCACTGTGAAGGTGAGGGTGGCTGGATGGTCCCTGATGGACACTCGGCCATTCCCAGCTTCTTTTGAGGCTCTGGTCCTGACAATCTCTTTACATGGTGGTAGCAGTGACACTCTGCACCAGTATTTGTCGTTAGCCTTGTATTTCTCCTCGTACTGACACCGCACACTCAGGGATTCCCCCACTGTGCCTGTCACCTTGCTGGGGCCACGCAGAGGGACACAGCCTGGAAAACACAAGCCCCAATTCTGCACCCTCACAGCTGGATGGGGGTCAGGCCTCCATTATTCATCTCTTAAAGAGCTGTCTTGTCTGAAGAAAGCATCAAGGGCTGGAGAGATGGCTCAGAGGTTAAGAACACTGGCTGTTCTTCCTGAGGTCCTGAGTTCAATTCCCAGCACCTACATGGTGGCTCACAGCCATCTATAATGAGATCTGTCTCCCTATTCTGGCCTGCAGGGATACATGCAAACAGAACATTGTATACAGAATAAGTAAATAAATCTTTAAAAAAAAAAAAAGAAAAGAAAAGAAAGAAAGCATCAAAAAGGAGACAGGCTTTCTTAGACCCAAAGTCTTGAATGAGGTGAGTGCCTGTGTTTTCCTGACGAGGGGCGGGGAGGGGCTTGTCCCTGGAGAAAGGAAGGGCCCAGGATGAAACAACATGTCAGTGTGTGTGTGTGTATGTGTGTGTGAGAGAGAGATAGAGATAGATGATAGATAGATAGATAGATAGATAGATAGATAGATAGATAGATAGATAGATAGATAGATAGATAGATATAGAGAGAGAAAGAGAGAGAGACAGACAGACAGACAGAAAGAGACAGAGAGCTGGTGGGGGGAAGTCTTTACATATGTATATGTGTGTGTGTATGTCTCTGTGGGTGTGACATGTGTCTATGAAGGAATCAGTGCTTATACACATTTGGTATGCAAATATATGTGTGTACCCAATAAAGATTGTATGCTTTTATGGCAATGTCTGTCTCAGCTAACCCTCTCAGCAGGTCCTGACTGTCTCAGGTGTGGTAGTCATGACTGTACTGTGCACTGATTCCTGACAGCACCTGTGAGGTGACGCTGGCCACTCCTGCCCACCCCCACTCCTTGTCTTCACTCTGGGCCCATCTTCCTCTGCTGGCTGCTCTCTCCCACCTCCCATCCCCCATCCTGCCCTCTCACTTACTCCAGGAGTCCCCCTTTCAGAGCTGTAACCCCCACCCCACCCCCGTCCCCGTGCTCACCTGGGACCTGCAAGAGGAGCAGAGCTGAAGGCAGCCACACTCCCGTCACTCCTGGGATCATTTCTTCAGCTCTGATGTCTCCTGCCCACACCAAGCCCAAGAGGAGAGGGGCAGTGTTTTTCTAGAAAGCCCAGTGTTCACATGCCAAGTTCTCCTTTCTGTCCTCTGCTTCCTGGTCCCCGGGGAGGCTCCAGATGAACTGGTACAGGAAGTGCTCTGAAGATGCTCCAGGCCTCGGGGCACTGGTTCCTATCGCTTCCAGTTAGGGGCACAGCCACAGCCACTGCCAGGGATTGAGATGCCACTTGTCTCTTAGCCTTCAGCTAAGTGCTTTACAACCTTCCCACTCCTGGCCCAGTCCTGGAAAGTATTTCCTTTTTGTTCAGGCTGCTCCACCCTCTGTGACATGTCACTTCCTGAGTGGACCTGATGGCTGTCAATCTTTTCTTGCTCCTTCCCTGTGAGCACAGAGGAACCATCTCCTTCCAAAATTCAGCTTAGCCTTCCATAGCATGCTCTTAGTCCATGGGGTCTCTGGCACTATTTCTGGCTTCACGCAGCTGGTTCAGCAAACACTGTGATCCTGATACCTTAATCAGAGTTTATGTTGATGCTGAGTCCCCACAAAGAGTACAGACCTGTAGGTCACAGCTTTCTCTCTCCTCTTCCATCTTATTCTGTTTGTTTGTTTGTGGCAGATCTCTAGCTCAATCTGGCTCTATACAACTAAGGATGACGTAGAATTGATCCTCCTGCTTCTACTTCCTGAATCTAGGTTATTATAGGTGTGATCTACCACATGCCATTCATGCTGTGCTCAGGATTGAACCCAAGGCTTCATCCATGCTAGGCAAGCACTCTACCAACTGAGATATGTCTCAGATCTTGTTTATTTGAAAGAGTATCTCACATTGGAACCCAGGATGGGCTGGAATGCACTATTTCAAGCTGAACTTGAACTCACAGAAACCCTCCATTCCTTGAGTGCAGAAAGTATGGGCATCAGCCACTCTACCTGACCACTCTGTCTTCGTATGTCATGGCCCCGTATCTAGACATGGGCCTGTTGTCATTATTTTGGGTAGGTAGTGGGTGTTGGGTGTTGGGAGGGGGAATGAAGAAAAACCTCAGGTCTCTCCTTTCTGACAACTCAGTTCCTAGTGGTGGAGGTCCATTTCCCTCTCATGTTGGGGAGGAAGGCAAGAGAATGGTTCCTGGAGCCCAGTGATGCACCTAACCATAGAGGCATCTGCACCTCTCTGATATATGTCGGTATCTAGAGGCTGTGGTGACATTTACGGGGGACATTGGTACTTGCTCTTCATTGGCCTGAGGCTCTCCTCTGGGCAATCATATGTATTCCACTCGTTTCCAAACCCTATTAACAGACAATGCAGAAATTTTCTCATTGTATCACTTTCTCCAGTTCTTGCCTCTCACATACACATCTTCAGGGTGTCTGTCTGAATTTTGTCTGTGTCCTTTGTTTCTTTATGCTCAACTCAATATCAGCTCAACAAGAGCAAATAATCTGCTTTGTGTATTCACTTGGGGACTCCAATGCCATAGTCTATGCTTGGTATCTGTCCTAGTCACTACTCTACTGCTGTGAAGAGACACCATGACCACAACTCATATTAGAGAAAGCTTGTCATTGGAGGCTTGCTTACAGTTTCAGAGGCTTAGTCCATTGTTATCATGGCGGCGAGCACGGTGGCAGGCATGGGAGACAAGGTTGTGGAGACATAACTGAGAGCTTCGTCCTCATTTTGAGAGAGGAGAGAGAGAGAGAGAGAGAGAGCTCTGCTGAGAAATGGCTAATGGAGATGAGGGAATGTGTTCTGATTCAGGTCTGTCCTATAGCAGGCCTCTGACCTGTGGTAACTCCCCAGCACAGGGCTTGATTTATAGCACAGCAAAAGACTTATAACTGAGCTTAGTGAGCACATCAGTTCTTACATCTGGCCCAGACTTGAGGAGTGTGGTAACAGGGAGTCATGTGCAAGGTGGAGTCACAGAACCTCCTCTGTGGCAAATCAGTGTACCCAACACAACACAAAGCCACATTCCCTTGTGCTGAATACTTGAGTGAGGACTAGGGGCTCAGAAGTATCGGTGACGGCCACAGCTGAGCCGCCAGCCGTACCTCATGGTGATGTTGAGTCACTCTGCAAGAGCTGCGTTAGTTAGATAAGCGTGGACAGACAAGGAACTTGCACACACAAGAAAATCTTAGAGTTGTATAGAAATTTGTAAACACAATGTTGTAACAGGAAGTTCTATGTAGGATCTGGATTCCTTCCTGTGGCCCTCTTGTGGCCACTGAGAAGGCCCAAGACCACTTCAAGGAGCCATGTGTCTCAGGGACCTCCACGGGCTGGAGATGGCTCAGGAGGTAAAGTGCTCATTCTGCACAGGTGATGACTAGAGTTTAGTTCCCCAGAAGCCATGTCAAGCTGGACACTGGGACACCCATCTGAACTATCAGGGGTCACTATAACACGCATCTGGACTCTCAGGGGTCACTGTAACATGACCTGGACTCTCAGGGGTCACTGTAACATCACCTGGACTCTCAGGGGTCACTGTAACATCACCTGGACTCTCAGGGGTCACTGTAACACACACCTGTACTCTCAGGGGTCACTGTAACCTCACCTGGACTCTCAAGAGTCACTGTAACATCACCTGGACTCTCAGGGGTCACTGTAACATTACCTGTACTCTCAGGGGTCACTGTAACACACATATGGACTCTCAGGGGTCACTGTAACACGCATCTAGACTCTCAGGGTCACTGTAACACACATCTGGACTCTCAGGGGTCACTGTAACACGCATCTGGACTCTCAGGGGTCACTGAAACACGCATCTGGACTCTCAGGGGTCACTGTAACACACACCTGTACTCTCAGGGTCACTGGAACACGCATCTGGACTCTCAGGGGTCACTGTAACATGCATCTTTACTCTCAGGGGTCACTGTAACACACACATGTACTCTCAGGGCTCCTATGTAACTGAGGTTTTCCTGTGTCCAATCCAATCCACAGACGCTCAGACCCAAGTAAACACCCAGAGGCTTATATTAATTAAAACTGCTCAGCCATTAGCTCAGGCTCCCTACTGAGTAGCTCTTGCACTTAAACTCAGCGCATTTCTGTTAATCTAAATGTCACCACATTTTCTATGGCTTTACCTGTGTCCCATTACATGCTGCTCCCTGGACAGAAGGCTGGCGTCTCTTGACTCAGTCTTTCTCTTCTCAGAATTCTCCTTATCTGCTTATCCCACCTATACTTCCTGCCTGACTACTGGCCAATCAACGTTTTATTAAACCAGTGTACAAAAGCATTATCCCACAGCACTGGTACATATGTGCTTTGGGGTGCGGTGTATGGCTATGTGTAAGAAAGTGTGTATGTGTACATGTGTGTCTGTTTATGCAACAAAGCCATTGTTCATATTGTATTGTTACAACCTTGGTCATCACAGTCACTCCTATTAATACACCCTGACTCTTGTCTGAGAAACAGGACCATTGTCAAGGTATGTGTGTGGTATAGTCCTCTGTGTAAAGAGTTGTGTACATATATACATGTGATGCGTGTGGTATATATACATCATGTGTGTAGCATGTATAGCATGTGTATGGTGCATAGCTGTGTGAGATATGGAATATACACATATAATATTTGCAATATATATGTATCATGTGTAGTGTGTACACTATGCCCTGCATATATGTGTCATAAGTACACTGTGTTGCATACATGTGTGTGGCATGTGTAGCAATGTCAGGAATGTTCACATGTCTATGGTATGATATACACATGACAATGCATGCATGTGTGTGATAAGCCATGTCCCCTCTTGACCCTGCACAGGTTACAGTTGCATTGATGGATGTGCCTTGGGGAGCCAGGCCTTTCCTGGGTAGCTACAGTCCAGTGATTGGCCAGGCTACTTCCATGAGCTCCGAGAGTGTGGCTCAGGAGCTGGCCCTGTCTCTGGGAGCCTGGCTCTCCTCACAGAGTGCAGGAGTGAGGGTTGCTCCACCTGCTTCTCTTGGAAGGCAGAGAGGAGTTGGAAGGAGGAGTCACAGCTTTGGCTGCTCCCAGAAATGGATTCTCACCATCCCCATTCTGAACTGCCTGTGCACACAGCTTGGGTTCACTGGCTTCTACCACAGTTGTTGCCAAAGCAAAAGCGTAAACTCTAGACTGCTGCACACACAAGTTTATTTCTTGTTCTTAGGAAAAATGAGTCAGCTCACCCTTCCCTCCCGCCCAGACTGAAGATGCCTCCAGTCCACTGTAGGTGGCAGAAAACCCCATGGTGGCCTTTATAGTCTCAGCTCTGAGGTCCCCGAGTCACATAAACTCACAACATCATGGGGACAGGGAAATGACATGCTTCTCTGCAGGAAACCACAGCTGTTGGGGAGACAGCTCTGCTCTGTGAGTCCTGGTGACTCAGTGAGCCCAAGTGACCTTGGGACCCCAGTAACAGCAGGGAGGTTAGGCTGAACTCAAGGGTATTTATGGAAAAGATCTGAGGGTCATTTGCTGTGGGAGGTTAGCAGCATGGCCATCAAGCTGGCTCCTGGAGAAGGCATGTCTACCAGACAGATGCTGGAGCATTGGACCACAGGAGTAGGATGGACCGTGGCTAGTGGGGGTGACAGATTCTACATGAAGTTGAGGGGACACTGTCCAAGTTAACTCAGTCACAGCTATTGGGGGCCATAGAGGTTTCCTAGTGAGATCTGAGCTTGCTTTACCCAGCAGGACTGCATAAGAGGATGAATGGACCAGAGGCCTGGGTACCAGGTATTTGGAAGGGTCTATACTTGGTTGTATTGAGCAAGGGGATGGTCTTTTGCCCCTCCCCTTTGCATTGCTATAAAAAGTCCTTTTGAATAAAGTTCTGGGCTAGTAGATAAGGACCCAGGCCCTACTAAGGCTATCCTGTGCTTCTGTCTTTCTCTCTCCAGTCTATATTTGTATCTAAATCTCTTATCCCTCACTCCTCAAGAGTACCCAGGTAGAGGTGGGGGCACAGAGTCATCAACATCAGGGATCTTTCTTTTATTTCTTTGGACATTCTGACATCTTTCCAAAGAGATAGCTTTGATTTTAACTGTAACGGGTATTTGATTTTGTTTTTAATTAAATTAATTAAAGTTTTGATACAGTCTTTCTGTATCCCAGGCTGGTTTCCAACACTTGATCCCTCTGTCTCAGCCTCCAAAGTACTGGGGTTATTGTAAGGATTCTGTATAAGAGCACCTCCTCTGGCATCTTATTATGTCATCAGCAGGTGACTGCATCCCAGTCCAAAATCTAGACGTGCACCCGATGATTCTCTTTGCACTCTCTCCATGCTCTCTCTCGAGGTCTTTCTGTGTGTTTTTCTCTGTGTCTCTCTCTGCTCTCGGTCTCTCTCTCTCTCTCTCTCTCTCTCTCTCTCTCTCTCTCTCTCTCTCACACACACACACACACACACACACACACACACACACAAAATCCCAAAGTGAACAGTACCCAAGGAACAACACCCAGGCTCTCCACACTCAGGTACACTCATGCACACTCACACACACCCATACACACGTACATGTGCACTCACATATGATGTGCATAAGCCCCCACCCTATATGAACACACACTAGCACACAACATTTCTGCTTTCTAGACCCTCCTTCACCACTACTACAGCATTTACTCAAGGACATCGCCTTGAAGGATTTATAAATGTTACTGAGTCAAAAGCACTGGTCAGAGGAGGGATCTTAGGTATAGACATCA